ATGTGACAGCTTGGTGGTCTCTTCATATGGTTTTCTTGAATAGCTAGATTTTAGTCGTCAGACACCCCGAAATCCCGTGACAATGAGCAAGCCCCATGTTAAAGCGTGTACATATACACACATACACATATGTATACTATGGTGTCTGTGCCTAGCCCTAACTGCCCAAATTCCCAAACGGTATGTTCTATACGTCATGTTTTGGGGGGCCCGATCGGTTCTATGTATGGCATTGAAGCTCTTTGGCGCCGATGGCCAGGTAAAGCCCCCAATTCATAGCCTCCCTCCTCCCCTAACAAGTGCTTCGGATTTGCGGCTTAGCTTAGGGTTTAGAGTTTAGGGTTGAGGGCTTAGGGGTGCATGATTTGGCGGTGTAGGGTTTAGGTGTTCAGGGGTTAGGGTGTAGGTTTTTGGTGTGATTGGAGCCTTTTTGTGGTGGTCCTACCGGCTTCGAGAGCCCTTAATGCAAGATGAGCTAATCTAGGAGCCTAAATAATTACCAACACTATTTTGGGCGTTCCTTCTTATAACAAGACTATACAAGAGCCCAAGACCCCATTCTAATCATCAAGGCCTCTATATCCCTAAACCCTAAACCCTATATTGAGGCCCCTACATTACATGTTACAACAAGACTATAAAGGAGCCCAAAACCCTATTCAAAGTACAAAGGCCCCTACATTACATGGCGCATCGTTCGGAAAGTCCATGTGCGTCTGGCGCAGTTAATGCCTGGCATCCGAGCCTCGCCACAGCTCAGGGAAGAGCCGAAGTTCCGAAGGATTAGGGGTTTAGGGATCTATAGGTTTGGGGTTTCAGGGTTTAGGGATCCAAGGATTTATAGGTTTAGGGATTTAGGGATCTATAGGTTTAGGATTTAGGGATCTATAGGTTTAGGGATTTAGTTTTTAGGGATTTAGGGTTTCAAGTTTTGGGGTTCAGGCTTTAAGGATATTTAGGGTTTAGGGATTTAGGGATATTCAGGGTTTAGGGCTTCAGGGATTCAGGGTTTAGGGTTCAGACCGCAAGGAACCACTCCGAAACCCTGCATAGCCCCAGTGTGACCACTACCGGCTTTGCGGTTTCTATGCGTGCAGACACACTGGCCAAGACAGACAGCACTCCAGATCTCGGGAAGCTCAAATCAGGGGTTTAGGGTTTAGGGTTTAGGGTGGGGCGGGGTGGCCAGCAGCATATTCCACTTTGTGACGGCTTGCAAACAAGTCTATGATGGTGCAAGCCCACGGCACTCGTTCGCTAAACGGCCCTAAACCCGAAACCGTGTTCTGTTTCCCCGGGTATTGAGTTTAGGGAACGCGGGAATCTCCCTGACTGTGGCTTGTAGATTAAATCGCCATGTCCTGCATCGCACCAAAGATGTGCTCAATTGCCTCTGCGACTTCGCAAGGACCCAGATATGCACATACCATGCCCCCTGAAGAACTGACATGACATGGGAGTTCAGAAGCCCATCCCACAAAGTTAGGACCCTTCCCCGCGCCCCAGTTGCAACTCCCTGAGCTACAAAGGACCGCCTCATCGTCACGCCCTAGCTCGAAGCCCCACAACCCACAATGGGAAGACTCGTCAAGGTTTGCGGCTCATCATGAGGAAGTTCAACATCGTGGATTAGTTAGTCGTTTTCCTGTTTGACCTACATTATCCACTGTACTTCCGTTATTTTTTGGTTAAACCAGTCGTATTATATTCAGGACCCGAGAAGGGAACACCCAAAAGGAGCTACAATGGAGACTATAGGTATCGTCGTCGTCATCCGTTCCCAGTGTGTTCGGACGTGATGGTTTTCAGTGTACGAGCTGTCTAAACCCTAAACCCTAAACCCTAAAACCCTAAGACCCTAAACTTTTTAAACCCCTAAACCTAAACCCTAAACCCTACACCAAAGCTGTTCAGTGAAATTTACCTCAGCTCAAAACTTGAAGGTCAGACGGTTGAAAGTCATAAGGGCTTAGGGTTTAGGGGTTTAGGGTTCAGGGGTTAAGGGTTTAGGGTTATAGTTGACAGTCTTAAGGGCTTAGGCCCTACCCCAAACCGTAGACCCTGGCTGTAGTCTTGGGAAGCTTTCGGGAGACGGATCCTAGGTGAAATGCAGGAAAGTCTTTGATCCCTTTGCCTTTACACTGAAATCCCTAGGCCCTGAGGCCCTAAACCTTAGACCCTAAACCGAAATCCCTTCGAGGCATCACCCCGGTGACCGGAAAGCTCGTACTTTGTAACTCCGGTAATCATAAATCTTAGTCTTATCGTCCAGGGTTTTAAGATTGAGGCTTGAGGGCTTAGGGTATTCAGGGCTTTAGGGTTTAGGCTTAGGGTGTTCCAAACATCAACCTCAAGACCACGTACACTCCAAGTTTTCCACATCTGTCGACTCGATCATAATCCTGCGACCCTAAACCCTAAACCAAAGCAAAAACCAAAAACCGTAAACTAAACCCTAAACACCATACCGTTCTATTTAGACCCCAAGCTTCATATTAAAGGAGCCCTGCTATACCTCCCAGGATGTACAGAGCGTAAACAAAGCCGTCGGGGCAGAGCGGCATGGCGCATCAGAGGACCAAAATCCTATTCTTAACAAGAACAACATACGCGTGAGTATGAGTACTAGTAGTATTAGTATTACTCTTCTTATTCGTATTTTGTTGTTGGTTATCTTAGTGTTTTCAAATTGGTTAAAGGGGGAAAGTGGTATATACCAAGGTTGTTCAGACCCTAAGCTCGAGCCACCCAGGTTTTAATCCGCAGCCCAAGCTTTGAAGCTTGGCACCTGTTGCGCTCCGATCGCCGGTCGGCTTGTGCAGTGGACTGCGATGGCAAAACAAGCGGGGTTAGGGCTAGAAGGGCTTTGGGTTTAGGGCTTAAGGTTTAGGGCTTAAGGTTTAGGGCTTAAGGTTTAGGGCTTAAGGTTTAGGGCTTAGGGTTTAGGGCTTAGGATTTAGGGATTGAAGTGTTGAGTGCTTAAGGTTTAGGGGTTTAGGGTTCAGGGTTAGAGAGTTGTTGCGACGTGGCTGAGGATTCTCTCAAAGGTGCGAGGAATTTGTACATGTCGTGTTCTACTAGACTTCATCAAGATGTTCCGGCGCTTCGCATTTTTCATAGCCCCAACCCTCCAGGTACACCTACTATATAGGGCCCCGGGGGCTCTAGCACCCTATATAGTAGGTATCTGGGGGGTTAGGGTACGATATCGGAGCCTATTTGGCAGTCTGCGTGGCATAGCTATTTGGAGCAGACTCGGAACTTGCAGTTGCAGATCGATCTAGCTATACTTCGGGTAGCAATCCAAGTGCCTTCTTCAAAGCCCTTCTGCCGAAAAAGCATGTACATCCCCAGAGGCTCCATGAATAGTACCATTATGGAATTAGGTCCCAAAAGACCATCCTTAATGAGGTTTTAGGGACCTAATTCCATAGTGGTACTATATATGGAGCCTCTGGGATCTGGCTGCTCTCGTTACTACTTCCTTTTCTCGGCCTAGAATTCTTTAAACTGCAAGAACCAAAACTGCAAGAACCAAAACCATGCCCCATGACTATTCAGCCCCCTGAACCCTAAACCCTTAAACCCCTAAACCCTCAAACCCCTAAACCCTGAACCCCCAAACCCTAAACCCTAAGCCCCCAAACCCTTAAACCCCTAAACCCTGAACCCTTAAGCCCCTAAACCCTGAAACCCCCAAACCCCTAACCCAAAACCCTAAACCCTCCCCTAAACCCGTAAACCCCTAAACCCTAAACCCCTAAACCCTAAAACCCTAAACCCCGAACCCCTAAACCCCTAAAACCCTAAACCCTAAACCCTTAAACCCTAAACCCTGAACCACTAAACCCCTAACCCNNAACCCTAAACCATAAAGACCTGCCAAGCCCGAAGCTTAATTCCCCCCTCCCGCAGGGATCCCTTCAAGGGGGAGGACATCCACGTGCACTTCCCTGCAGGGGGCATCCCAAAGGACTTTTGTCGGTTCTGGGTTTAGGGCTGAGACCTGAAGACGGTTTGAGTTCTCGGGCTAGGATCTAGGTTAAGTGTGTTGGCTTTAGGGTGCTAGGGTTGAGGGTTTGTTTGATTCTAGACATTTTAGTTTAGGCTAAACGTTAGAGTCCTGTGGACATATAATGCATTTGACTTGAGGCTGCTTGCTTGGCTAAACGTCTTCTAGAGGCTTGAGCTCAAGGGCCAACGGATACAGAGACAAGAACTCAATAACCCACATAAAGTATTGCTCTTCTACACTGCTGTTTTTACGCCACAGGATTAACCAAGTACAGAGTTTTGGTTGACTTGCAGAAAGGTCGTTCTCAGACATCGTCGGTCTGTTTGGCACTTGTGTGGTCCTTCTGCCTTTGCTTTGACGCTTGGGGTGTTGAGTTTGTGGCCGCGTGCATTGTGCGTGAAGATGTCGCTTCGTATGTCCTGGTTCGGGGTCTCGAGTTTATGAAGCTACAGGCTGCAGGGAGCCCGCCAAAACCATCCGAAGCCCCAAGCCATTACACAACAAGCAGATGTCAGCTTATCCCTAACCCCCCAGGTACCTGCTGTATATAGGGTACTAGAGCCCCCAGGGCCCTATATGGTAGGTACCTGCAGGGTTAGAGCATCACGCCCGTATTGTAATATGACCTTCGCAGTTCTTGTCAGCCTCAAGAATCTTTTCAACCCTGAGCGCCACATGTTCATCGCCACACACCCCCGAACAGCCTCAACCGTGAAACCCTAAACTCGAAACCCTAAAGCCCTACAGTCCTAAAGCCTCAGTGCTCCCCAACCCTGAACCCCAAAAACCTGCGGGCTTATCCGTGAACCTCAGCATCCACAAATCCTGCACCCCAATGCAAGGTTCTCATAGCTTCTCATAGAATCTCACGTCTGTTGCTGTAGGGTTTGGGGTTTAGGGTTTAGGGGGAATCATATATAGCTAAACCCTAAACCCTAAACCGGAACGCTAAACACGTGGTGCTTCTTTAGAGTCCCTAGTGAAGGATGGTCCTTCTGCTGGAGTTGCGGTACTTTTGGCCTTGGCCTCCCTTGTCCTGAATAGGCGCCACCTGCTAGGGGGCTTGGGGTTAGGGTTTAGGGTTTTAGGGGGTAGGGGTTATAGGGCTATCTGGTTAAAGGGGTTTAGGGTTTAGAGCTTAGGGGTCAGGGTTTACAGGGTTTTGATTTTGGTGGTTGAGGGTTTAGAGGGTTTCAGACTAGCACGATATAGGCATTACGGTTCAGGGCTTGAGAGTTGCGGGAATCAGGCGGCCGGATGCATCTTATTGCATCTGTCGAGTGTTCTTTCTGGCCTTGAAGGAGCGAGTCCAAAACCCTAAGCTCTCATAAATATAGGGGCCTCAATAACTACCTATGCTATTGTGGGGGTTCCTTATTGTGATTATAGTATAATATCCCCAAAACCCTATTCTAATGATTAAGGCCCCTACATTAAGCCCTAAACCCTGCGGTGAGTCCGTTTGGCTTCCGCTCCTCCCCCGGCTACGCAACTTGAAGCTCTAAGATCTCAAACGCTCAGGTGCCGAAGGTAAGTAACGCGTTTGGGGTTTAGGGTTTAGGGTTAAGTAAGTGTCTGTGTCGCTCATTGAACCCCCGATCAATAGTCTCACTAAGTATAGTAGGTTGCCTTCCTCAGGTAACCACGGTACAGTCCCCTACCCTTTCAGGTAGCTGCTGTATTTCGTACCTAAACCCCAAACCCTGAACCCTAAACCGTAAACCTTAAACCCTAAACCTGAACCGTAAACACCTGGAGCGGCTGCTCGGGTCGTGATGCCAGAAAAATATGTCGAACCAAAGCGAAACCCATCACTTAAAATCCTGAACCCTAAGGGTCCAAGTAGTCCTTATTATGGATTTAGGTACCCAAAAAGGCCCCAAAGTCCTTAAATAGTGGGTACTTGGACCCTTAGGGGAATCCACCAGTAGTCTCCGTTGTAGTTCCTTTTCTTGTTTTAACCACTTTGTTTGTGTATATGTGTGTATATATATATAGAGAGAGAGAGAGAGTCCTATAAGGTAACCCAAGCAAGGAAATACAATGAGACTAGAGGCATGTTCCGGTTTCGGAGGGCTTGCTGCAAGATGTTCTGAACTTCTCTCCCTGTCCACGATTTAAGGGCTTAAGTTTCAGGGTTTAGGGTTTCGTATCGTCATGTGACGATGTGTGCCATGCCTTTGGGTCCTCAACTACAGATCCTGTTACTTATAGTTTAGGGGTTCAGGGTTTAGGGTTAAGGGTTTAGGGTTTAGGGTTTAGGGTTTAGGGTTTAGGGTTACTTGGGGTTCTAGAAAACCGTCCTCCTGGGAAATTCCCAGATGCCTCCCATCCTAGGACCTTATCTACCCTCTACATACCTACCAGTTGGGGCCATGTACCCCGCAGAAGTACCGTTTATAGTATCCATTGTAGTACCCGTGGTAGTACCTCTGGAAAAGCTGTTTGGTTTGAGCTGGCTCAGGCCGGTCCGCAGTGATACGGCCGTGACCGGTGAGGTCACTCTTCGAGGCTGGTTCCTTTCTGGGTATTCTGGGTTCCCTTTCAGGCCTGACCCTTCGGTGGAATGCCCAAGCGGCTCTTGATTGGTAGTGTCTCGGTTTTCTTCATCTGTATCTAACCGATGTCTATATATATCATTCTATATCATCTTTGTCCAAACGGGTCCAGGAGTCAGGTACTGGGTTTAGGACTTAAGGTGGGCAAGGAGGTTCGGGGGTGTTGAAGCAGGGTCGGGCTAAGGACCTGGATCTCTTTGGGTTCAAGGCTCAGGCTCGCCATTTTAGGGTTTAGGATTGAGGGTTTTTGGTTGAGGGTTGTAGGGTTTAAGCGCTTCAGCCTTGGTTGTGCAGGGAGGATTTTGCTTCGGGCTTCGCGGTTTACCCCAGCCGAAACCCCAACTGCAACGCTTGCAAACCCCAAACCGCGAACTCGACACTAGGTGGCTACGCATGTCGGTTGGGAAGAAATCTCCCTGGATATCGGATAACCCTGAACCCCAAACCCTAGCCTCACGACCTTGGCCTGACAGAACTCAGTTTACGGAGCAGTAGCCCTCACTATCTAATAACCTACTATCTGGGTAGCATCTTAGGCTTCGAGCGACACTTGTGCCAGGTGGGGCCGCGGGCTTTCAGTTGCAAAGGTCTCGTTTCGCGACAGATGGGGGCTAAGGAAACGGCAGAAGCATCGCTGTAAGACTTTAGGGGTCGACCTTAGGCTTGAGGGGTGTTGGCTTAGGTGTGAGGTTGCAAGCACGGTAGATTCATGAATCCTGCGAGAAACTGTTGCAGCATCCACTCAAACGCAAAACTTACATCAATGCTCCTAATCTGCGAGTTCACAAACTTACAGACTGCTTGCGAGTTTGGACAGTTTAGGGCTTAGGATCTTGCCAGTATGGTTGCGGAATTACTTGCACGTCATGCTTTCGGAGGCCAGTGGCATGTCTTGCTGTATACCCCAAGCCCCAAAACTCTACAGCCCAACAACCAGAAACCTTGCGGCTGAACCCCGGGAACCCTTATGGCCCTAATTCCCGAACACTGCCCCCCCTCCAAAAAAAAAACTAAACCCTAAACCCTAAACCCTAAACCCTAAACCCTAAACCCTAAACCCACCCACAAGAACTAGTTGAATCAGGGTTGGTTCGACAGGTCACGTCCTGCCGGTCGGAGGCATCCGGGACAAGGCGCATCATTGTTTTGTGCAGTCTGTTAGGGTTTGGGGTTTGGGGTTTAGGGTTTAGGGTTTTAGGGTTTAGGGTTTAGGGTTTAGGGTTTAGGGTTTTAGGGTTTAGGGTTTAGGGTTTAGGTGCCCAAACGTAGGTTCAGTGGTGGTTCGGAATGTTGGGGTGCGGTGGTTTATGGTTGTTTGCGGTTTAGGGTTTTGGCTGCTAGAGGGTTTAGGCCGTGAGAAAGATAGGTAGTACAACAACTAATTACGCGGCAATCGCAAGCATGAACGGTTGTGGCTTCATTGTTGTGGAGGTACGTCTCCACCGGCACGACAGGAGCATCATTCCGGAGACAATGTTGTCTGGGGTCTCCTGTTCAAAACTGAATAATAGAGGGGCCTTAATAATTAGAGTAGGGTTTGGGGGTATCTTATACTATAACTATAATAAGGAACCCCTAAAACCCTATTCAAATTATTAAGGCCCCTACAGTCATGAAGATAGGGGATCCTCTGTGTGTTTTAGGGGTTGGGGGGGAGCCTAGAACCCGTGGAACCTGAAACCCTTAACATCCAATCACATCCAACCTCTTCGACCCTAAGATAGGGGCAGGGTTTAGGGTTTAGGGTTTAGGGTTAGGGGCCTTAATAATTGCCTATACAATTTTTTGTGGGTGTTCCTTATTGTATGTATAGTATAATGAGCCCCACAACCCTATTCTATTTTTTTAAGGGCGGTCTCTACATTAAACCCATAAGAAGGCCCTATAAACCCTAAACCATAAGCCCCTAAAGTGAGAAGGTCCTGGCTGCCATCCGAGGGGGCGTGAAGCATGTGCTTCTCCCGGTTGCGAACAAGCGCCACGTGAAGGAGGCGGCAGAAGCGCGACAATGTAATGAAACTCTGAATCCTATAAATCCAATAACCCTGAAACCCCCAACCCCTAAACCCTACACCCTGAAAGCCCTAAGCCGCCAAACCCCTAAACTCCAACCCCGGGCCCTTAACCCCAAACCCCTAAACCCAAAACCCCACTCAGACGTAAATTCTGGTAAGCCTACTATATAGGGCCCTAGGGGCTCTGGTACCCTATATAGTAGGTACCTGGGGGGGGGTTCGGGTTAGTAGGGTATTAATCATACTAAACAACAGTACGTACTCCAGAGCATTGAGGCCCGCGGCCTGCCTTGCTACAGTTTTTGTTAAGGGTTTTAGGGTTTAGGGTTTAGGGCTTTGGCATGACAGTTATCTACAGAGGCAGCTTTAACCCAGTTTAGGCTTGGGTGGGTCCGTGGGCAGCTTCAACTCATCGTCTTCAAAACTACGCGCGACCACCCTAAACCCTAAGGGTTTAGGGTTTAGGGTTTAACCCTAAACCCCTCCGCCCCTTTGATAACGGAGCCCAACAGCTTCGAGCATCAGTCCTTTAAATCCGTACCCTAGACCTCTAGGTACCTACTACATAGGGTACTAGAGCCCTGGGGCCCTCTATAGTAGGCACCTGGAGGGTTAGGGGTAACGCTGAGTGTTGCTTGCCCAGAGGGTCCATAATACACTACCATGATGGAATTAGGTCCTACAAGACTATCCTTATTATGTTTTTGTGGACCTAATTCCATAATCGTAGTATGTATGGACACTGTTCGTTGATTGAACCTGGAGATAGACTGGGGGGTTTCGGGTTGACGACTGTCTAGGTCGGAAGTTTTAGGTGAAATATGATGAGTCTGAATCATTACGAGTATTACTCGTTATCTTGGGGTCCTAAACCCTACACCCAAAACCCCTGAATACATCTACAATACAGCACACTGCTCCAAGACCCTAAACCCTAAACCCTAAACCCTTTTCTACTTGTTCTAGCCCCACGTCTTCAGTGTCCGGGTTGAGGGTTCGGATTTGGGGTTTCAGGGCTTAGGTCTAGTATAGGCGCCGTCATAAATAGAGTAGGGTTTTTGGGTCTAGCACCCTAAACCCTAAACCCTACACCCTAAACCCATGCTATGAATGGATCGTATTGGTACTTATTTACAGGCCTCTCTCTATAATGAGTCCCCCAGATCTTCGGCCGAGGGTCTCTGGCTCAGGCTTGGCTAGGGTTTCGGGCTTAGGCCTTAGGGTTTAGGGTTTCGGGTTTAGGCTTTAGGTTTTAGGGTTTGGGGTTTAGGGTTTCGGGTTTAGGCCTTAGGGTTTAGGGTTTAGGGTTTAGGGTTTCAAAGCAGGTTAGGCTGCTTAGGTAGGTATGCATGCATTTGTGTATGCCTGCATGTGTGTACATACAAGTGTATGGGTAGCTCTCTAACTTAGCGGCTCCTTTCGGGTCCTCTTTAGAAGGGTGCCGTAGCATATTGGGGACCTAATATGCTCTACATACCTGCACACACGCACACAAGCACATGTTTGTGTCAGTTGAGTTTTGGCTCCCTCAAGAGATGCTGGATCAAATTGAACGTGAGGCTTAGGGTGTCTTAGGGTTTAGTAATTTCTCAGGGTTTAGGGTCTAGGGTTGAGGGTGGACAGTTGAGGGCCTGCCACAGTTCACAGGCTTGCATATTCTCTTAGAAGTCAACAGATACGTAGATGCAGAAATTCAAGTGTTGAGGTATGGGTTCAATCTCCGTTGTTTATCTGAATGTACCTTTTACATCCGTTCCTTTTGCCGCAGTTTCTGCGATACAAGCGGCTTCCCTAAATTTAGGTGTCCTGGCTGCAGGACATTCCTGCGAAGTCATTGGAAGGAGTGCAGATTCACTACTTGCGCCTTGGCTCATGCAGCCCCCGTTCCACCAACCCAGATCCTAAGCCATATCTGTGGCCGGAAAAGACCTACCGTTCTATATAAGGAATTATATATATATATATATATATCTATCTATCTATCTATCTGTCTGTCTGTCTGTCTATCTATCTATCTATCTATCTATCTATCTATCTATCTGTTTTTGTATATAGAAACCATAATAAGGAACCCTGAACAAGGTAGATCTTCTCGGCTACAGGTACGCTCTAGATCTTGAGCCTGAACTCCTCAACCTTAACCCTGCCACCGCCACTCCCCGTTACCTTCAAACCTGCTTCAACTCCCCCACACCCTGAACCCTAAACCCTAAACCCTAAACCCTAAACCCTAAACCCTAAACCCTAAACCCTAAACCCAAACCCTATTAGCCTTCGGCCCCGAAGCCTGAATCTTCAACCTGCAAGCAGTGCACGGTTTGGTTTGTGCGGGTTTGCTGCCCTTGCCTGCCGGCTCGGCTAGTACATTGTGCCTCCGTCTCAACGTGTCATGCATCAACTAGCGACGCTTGATGTCGTTCCTGCCGCAGTGCAGCTTGGCCCCAGAGGAGAATCTAGGGGCCTTAAAAATTAGAATAGGATTTTGGGGCCCATTGTATTATAATCATATTCAGCTGCCCCCCCCCAAAAAAAAATAGTATTGGAAATTATCTAGGCCCCTACATCAGACTCGGTGCTGAGACGACGACGTCGCAGAAGACGCGGCCCCCTCCGGACTGGTCTACCATGGAGTCACCGGTGATGCAAAACGTCGTCGTCGACCTGCGAAGCCTCATAATGACAGAAGAAGGGTTTAGGGTTTAGGGTTTAGGGTTTAGGGTGTGCAAGGTGCCAAGTGTGGCTGTGGCTCGATTTATTTCTATTCGGATTGCTCGGCGATGTCGTCTTCACCTCGCAGCTCCTGTGCGGATACCCCGAAATCCCTAAAGCCTAAACCCCAAATCCCTAAACCCTAAACCCCAAACCCCAAATCTCTAAACCATGAACCCCAAATCCCTGAACCCTAAACCCCAAACCCCAAATCTCTAAACCCTAAACCCCAAACTCAATCATCAGAATTACTCTTACCACCCTGAAGCGGCAGGCCAACTAGATATGCCAACAACTGCCGCCTTTCAACAGAGCTCGGCTGCAGGTTAAATCGTGGAAGGGCTGCCAGAAAATCAACAGTGCCAGAGATGTTCTTGTAGGGTTTAGGGGCTCCCGCAGCCGTTTTTGAGTTAGTGAATACCATTTCCATTTTCTAACCATGCACCACCCCCTAGCACCCAAACCAGAACCACCTATGCCTCACCCCCCAACTCACCAAAAGACCAATGGAAAAGACCCACCTGAAGAACCCCAAACCATAACAACCTATTCCTCAACCCCCAACCCACCAAATATAGGGGCCTTAATAATTGGAATAGGGTTTGAGGGGTTCCTCATTATAATTATAGTATATTATACCCCAAAACCCTATTCTAATTATTAAGACCCCTATATTAAACCCTGAGCCGCAAACATTGCATTTTCAACAGGCCGTGCTCGAAGAGCTCCAAACCCCCTTATGTAGTTCAAGAACTGGTGTATAGAAGGAATCACCAAGCCCAAAAGACCCCGAACCTCTGAAACAGGTTTAAAACTGTAAAATCCTGAGCTATGGGGTGTTTCGCCAACCCTAAACCCTAAACCCTAATCAGCCCTAATCTTACCCAGGAAGACCGTCGACGAAGCTCTCGACTGGGTCCTTGGGCCCAGCTGCAGTGCTTTCGCCTTCAGAATGTGCAATTTTGGCATTCATTAGGGTGTAGGGTTTGGTGTAGGGGTTTAGGGTTTTGGGGTTCTGTGGTCTGGGGTTTAGAGTAGTTGATATAGTGCTTATAGGGAGTTATTTGTCCGGCGAGTGCCGCCACCGGACACGAGCCAAGCGTGAACCAATAAACCCCCTCCCTCCCTCCCTCCCTCCCTCCCTCCCCTCCCTCTCCCTCCC